TATTGATAAAGGAAGAAAAGGAAGACAAAGATGAGGAGCACTGACAATTTGCATGCAATTCTTCTCATTTGCCAAAATATTTTTCAGAATTTTTTCCCATGGAATATCCATGGAAGATGTACCATATAGATTATATTTTCCACTTTTTACTGATGTCAATTAAAAAGCTAACCTGAGTCAAATATCACACATAAAGTTCAGGGCGCTACTGTTTAAGGATGTTTGTATTAGCATTATGTGTATGTTAGAACCTGAAACTTAACCAGCATGCTTCAGTATATAGAGAGTAATACATGTAGGTTGCTGCAAAAGTACTGCCTCCTATTTATTTCCATGGAAACTATAAACAAGTACGAAGAGCATAATAACAGAGAAAATTCTCTGCTAAAAAACATTGTTTTCCATGTTTCCAACAGTCACCACTGTTAGCCCATTGACATGGATGAGTGGATCAAGACACTCTTCATCTCATGGTGTGACAGTTGTGCATGGCCATGCCTCTCACATAGCTGTAATCACTGCTGAAAAGCACCACAAACCACCTGAATGTAGTATCATCCACTGTTTGGACGTCAGCTCTTCATACCCATCCAGCCATTTTGCTTTTCCACAGAAAAGAGACAAAAATCTTTCTTAAGCCCAGATGTTAGATATCCTATGGCAGTTCCTGAGAGTTGTCAATACTAAGTGTAGAACAGACATTCACTACCATTTGTAAAGGAAAATTAGCAAAAAAAACAACTCATCCATAAAGGGGCAAAATGAATGATAGAAATACAGTTTTAATGAGGTTTCTAGTAAGCCAGGCATTAGATATCATGAGAATATTTAAAACTACATATCTGTATAAAAACTTTAAAAACTTGGTGGCAGGATGTTTAATTTGCAAGTAACAAAGCTTAACATTTAGGCAAACTTTATAGCAAAACTTCAGGCAGTAGGATAAAAAGCTCAGAGGAGTATGAAATAATAAGAACAATACATTAACATGCTACAGTTGCTTTGAAATTTTGACAGGATTTAAAAGCCTTAGAGAGAAAACATAAGGAAACAGTATAATTATTGTTATTATTAAAACATTTTTAAATTTGTTGGAGATGATCTCTGGGACATCAATTCTCTTCAGTACCTTTAAATACTCCAACCTACAGCCGATTAAAGACTTCTGCAGTTTGCTTCATAGTACTTGGTACAATAAAGGGATTTTGTCTATACAGATGTGTCTGTAGATATGCACGTATATGTGTGTGATGCATACGTACGTGTGTGCCCATTTGCATCTTGTATTTATAGGGAAATATAATTTTTACAGAACCGTATAATGGATGTTCACATTGAATTTTTTTTCTGTTTTATATTACTTACACAAGCATAAAATAAAATCATATAAAATGTGATATATATATAATAATGTAAATGCAGTAAATATTATTTATTCAAGTAGAAGAATAGGAAGTTTTATATTTTATTAACTGTATGCAACCATTTACAAACTGCTACTGTTACTTATTAAGCTGGTTAAAAATCTTGTAAAGCAAACTTTACTGTTTTGTTCTTCAGCTACCTAGTCTTCATCAGACCAAATAAAAACTTTAAAATGTGGCCTCCATGCCACCTACATATAACTACCTTCTTGCCTGGAAATCGGTGCACCTGAAGAAAAGGAATAATGAAAGAAGGAAGTTTCACTCTGCATCATCTGCTAAAAGGAGGCAGTCACATATTTCTAAAGTAGAGGTAAAGTATTTAAAAGGGGCTGAGATAGGTGATGGAATGGACCTCAGGAGCGCTCCAGAAGTTGCACTGTCAGGAGCTGAATATTATCCACAAGGTAGGTCCCTTAAATTTTATTGCTGAATTTTGTTTTACTCATTTCATTTTTCCTTTACAATTGTGGTGTCAAATTAGCATCGCATCTTATTTAAAAAACCCTTGTATTTAGAAGCAATGGCTTTAAACCATGTTACAAGTTGCAGACATTTACTATACAGCAAACTTTTCTTAAAAAAAAATCTTTTTTTTTTAAATCATTATTTAATAGACCTGGCAGTAGTTTATATTATGTCAAATTTACTATAGTAAACAATGCAATTTTTCTATATACTACTCTTCTTTATCTATAAAGAAACAGTGGGAAAATATATGTTTCCTAACACTGGAATACAATTAACAAAAACAAAATAAATCACATCCAACCATTCATATGTTGTATGGATAGTACACTAAGAGTTCTCTTACGTTATTTTTTTTCTGATTATTCATTGAATAACATGCTTAGCTTCAAGATATTATGCCATAAAAATTTAGTTCATCAGGCCCATCACAGCATAATCATTGTCAATGTTATCTTCTACCCTCTGGAAACATAATGATTGCTGAAGTTCTGAGTGAAATTCCTATCAGGTTAAAGTGGATATAATTGCACTGATTAGAGTTTAGTCGGTGTTTAGGTATAGTTACAATCTGTATCTTTATGAGAAATACTACAGATTGAAAGTGGGTAAATAATCAGGGGTAAATGATACCAACTATTCTTTTATGACTTTACAAAATTACAAAAGCATCCTGATTATTTTAGCCTACTGTTTAATTCTTCACTGTTTCAGAGCTAGACAATGTATTGCCCCAGAAGCTTCTTCATCTTAACTGTCTGCTTTATTGCTACATCCCTTGGTAATCGACAAAGCAACATCCAGAAATGCTTTGAAAGTGTGCAGTGGAGTGAACTTTTAAATGAGATTGAGAAACTTGTAAGTAATGTGTAAAATACCATCATGGTCTGTAGATGTAGTCTTCAATCTTTCCTTTTTTTCAGTTTCAGTGTAAGATATTTTAAGTTATTTATTAAATGCTGAATAATTGTGTGGTTGCAATCTTTTCACATTACAAAAAAGTTATGTACCAAAATGTCCTTTTTCTATGAAACCCAAAATCTTATTTTTATGTATTTGCATAAAAATTTTCATCTCAATATCTGGCAATTTTGTGTCTTCCATGAAAAGCTCCACATGCTCCACAGAGGAGTGACAGAAGTCACATGTTTTAGAGTACGGTCTCCAGGGATTTCTGCTAACTTGCATCAGTTAAAGCCATAACACCATAATTTCACAGGAAATAATCCCACCCCTGCAAAGGAGCTTCCACAGTCACAAGGAAAAGTTACTGAAACAAATGCTTTCTGATGACATTCGTGGTATTTTTGGTGGCCTGCCTTTTCCTGAACATCTCCTCACACAAGTATAATGTTTGAAAACAACTGAAATAGGTGAAGAGTCCTGCTATACAAGCAGATATTTATTTGATTTTTGGAGTGTATAAGCCAAATGAATCTCCACAACGTCACGAGATAGATATATAATGTCTTCTATGAATGTAGTCTTTCACTGATAAGAGATCAATTAATCATTTAATAAAGCCTTCTATGATTTTTTTTCCTGCAATAAAAATTTTATATATACTTAAAATGATGACACTAATGTTTTCCTTAAGAACACTAGAAGCTATTCTTTGGATTGTGATGAAGTGAGCAACGAAGAATTGTGCTTCCCTGAGAAAATGCTAAAAGCAGTAAGTAGTAACATACATGTACTTGGTTGTTTTTCATTGTAACATCTCTATTTCACATAGATATGTACCTTGACACAAGACTTCACATTAGAGTTATGGCATAACAATTTTCTAGGTTTAAATGGGAAATCAGATTCTTGAATTTTCACTCCAAATTCTTCTCCCTGAGAGTTTACTGGCTAATGAAATATACCTAGTCACATACTCTGGAATCCACCAGGACTCCCTGCTATCTGGCATCAGCTGAAAACATAATACCCCAGTTTATTTTGCAAGAAAACAGTCCTACTGAAAAGAGAACACTTCCAACATCACAAAGAAATTTTTCTTTGGCACAAATGATCTTGGGAAACATTTTTGGAAATCAGAAATATTATAAAAGAACATTTCCTTGCCCACTTTGTCTTCTTTTGCGATTTCCCTTTGCTCAAGTCTGCAGAGATCACATAAAGTAAGCTAAATGATAACCTTTTCAATTTCAAACTCTGCAGTCCTATCATTACCATTACAATGAATTCTCATTTGCTTTCATAAACTATTCCTGAAATATAAAGGGTATTTGGAATTAGGAAGAAAACAAAAAAGGAAAGCCAATGTTTTTTATGTGCTTCCTAGATTTTAAAGTATGTTACTAAGTACAAGAAAAAGAGAAGATGCTATTTTATTACTATCCTGTCTAAAGTAGAAAATTAGTTGTAATTAATCTGGTGTTCTGGAATCTACCAGATTAGTATGTCAGGTTTGGTTTCAGTCAGAAACAGACTCCAAAGTAGCATAGAAGTAATTGTAAATACTACCCCACACATGAATGTACTCTATGCATACAGTCCACATTCAGCTCAGGTCTTCAGTGCTGCAAAGTAAGAGAGTGCTTGGCTGAGAGTGTCACCATATGAAAGCAGCTCATTCTGCCCACTTCCAATTCACCTCTAATGAGGATGCAAAGCTCACAGAGAACAAAAAAGATATAATGCAATGTTAGCCACTTTTGGTGTTCCACCTTCTGCACATTCCTAGTCCTTGACTTGGATCTTAATCTACTTTTTACTTTTGTTCTCTTATTGGTTATCCCTCATACGTTGTATGCATTCAAGTATATAAAAGCAGGCCAAAAATGCAATATATATTTCCTTTACAAAACAGAGACCAAGTTTGTGAAAAAGAAAATTTGGAAATTGCACATACAATTTCTGATTTTCAAACAAATAATGTCAATTTAATGCATATTACTTCCTATAGTGTTTTCTATTTAAATTTTTGGAGAATACAAGCAATCGATAAAAACTGTGCAAGAATTAATAATATCTGGTCTCAGGCAGTTTGAAAAGGTACCATTAGCCAAAATTTAAGTGCAAACTTAAGTTAGTCTCTAAATTTATTTTTTTTTCCTCTCTTTGTAGGTTAAATATGATCACACAGCCATTGTTCATATAGTGCATGAAATTGCTGAGTTTTTCAAGAGATCAGATGCACCTTTTCAAAATAAGAACATTTTTCTAAGAGAAATATATGAAGCTCATGCCCAACTCAAGACTTGTGTAAGTATAATGTTTTATTCCACAGCATGATATTTAAATAATAATCTTTTTACTCAGCGGTGGTGAGACTGCATCTAGAATATGGTGCCCAGCTCTGGGGCCCTCAGTATTGGATATACGGATGTAGTGGAGAGCCCAGTGAAGGGTCATGATGGTGACAAAGGGTCTGGAGCATCTCTCCTGTAAGGAAAAGCTGAGAGAGCTTCAGCTCAGAGAAGAGAAGGCTGAGGGGGGCTCTCATCAATGCCTATAAATTCCTGACTGGATATGCAAAGACGGAGCCAAACTCTTTCCAGTGCTCCCCAGTGTTAGGATAAGAGGCAGTGGGCATAAAATGAAACACAGAAAGTTACATCTGAACACCAGAAAGTACTTTTGTGTGGTGCAGATGACTGAGCACTGACACAGGTTGATCAGAATGATTGTGGAATCTCCTTGGGTATATTCATAAGCTGTCAGCACTACGCTATCTTTCACTTTGACCCCTTCAGAAGGCTTGTGTCTGAGAAACACATTACAGTGCATGTCTACCAGTTTTACCAACTTATGTTAATTTTTAATTTACTTATCAGTTTTTGAACTAATAGCTTTTTTTTATTTTCCATTAAAAATAACAGCTAAAGCCCAAACTTAACATCATCCACGAATCTATAGTAAAACAGTGCTTCCAAAAAATGGATACATTTGTGTCCAAGGTAAGTAAGCTATTTCTCAATTTACATTTTCCTTCTCCATAGTGTGTTACGTCATCTTTTATAAAACAGCTAAAAAACACTTTTTAATAACCTTTATTTCACAGACAAATGATCACTGCACTTGGCAAGAGATCCATGCACAATCAAGAGAGCTACTTCAAAGAATTGAAAACTACTCTTTCAGGAGAAGATCAACACATTAAGAATGTCAGTTCTAATCAAATATTTTGAGGATATATTGTCACACCAAGATAAATTATCTTATTTTTTTAAAAAGTTAAAGGAAGTAGTATACACATAGTTCCTATTTAAAGATATGTTACTTAATTTATTTTTGTCAAGATATTATTGTCAAGATATTTTTTCTAGCCTACTTATAATAACTTTAGTCTGAATAAAAAGGATGCAAGAAAGCATGTAAATGTGTTGATGTTTACTTATTATACTAAAAAAATGGAGTACATTTTATAAAAAAGATAAAATCAGTATGGCACTCTAAAGCTTGTATTCAGGATAAACACTGAATGTAAACAGTTGTGCTAGTTGTTTTATTGTGCATCTGTCTGTAATTTCATATCTGCCCTATTTCCTTTCCACTACTGAATTTATTTATTTATTTATTTATTTAAACTACTTCAAGCCTTCACGTGTAGCCCAGTATTTCACTCTAAAATTACTTTCCCAAATTGCCAATATTTCATCAGTTCTCTTTTCAAAAATGGCTTGGGAAGGGAGAGGCAAGCAAACAACAACAACGAACCCTACATCTTTTCCAAACAAGAGAGCTATCAGACAATCAACATTATCAAAATCTCCTTAGATCTACATTTTTTCTTCAAGTTCAAGGGCAGACACAGTTTTGATCACCTATTCAGTGACATATTAATATGTCACTGAAATTGGAAATGATTCCCTCTCTTTTGGAATCGGAAGTGATTTCGCCTCTCTGTGAAAGATTATTGCTCAGAGAGTGCAACGTTCCAATAGCAAATTAATATCTCAAAATCAGTTATCCATACAAGAATAAACCCTCTTTAATGAATTAAACTGGGACAAATAATTAAGTAAAATAATGCAAAAGAAACAAACAAAAATCAACACAATTTTGACCTGAGAAATTACTTCTGTCCCTGGCAACATTCTATAATGATACATATGGCAATAGTTGGGACATGGATCAAACTTTTCATCATGGAAAGTGCTTTGCCAGTACATTATATGTAATGATAGTGCTTATAGCAATGATAAATAACATCTTAAAATTTCCCTTTCCGTTGCTTTTCCAATGAGTTTGTTGAATAGTTTTATTCCTTAAGAGTAGCCATTTCTAAATTGAGTTAGCTTAGGAGGGTACAATTATTGTGCTGAATGTTTAATCAGAATCCATTTTAATCAGTCTACAAAAGATATTCAACATAGAAAATATAAATGAAGAAATACAAGTCTGCAATAGTAAAGGAGTTAACGGATGCACTGGACTTAAATCCTCAGCTAATTAATTATTTCATATTTCATATTAAAATTTCTATCCAAATATTTTGCCACAGAGGAAGATATATCAGGATTGGGAATTTTTTAGGCATCTTGCCATGAGTTCCAAGCAGCACCTACAGAAAGATATTTTAATTCCTGCATCAGAAGTTGGCAAATTCTAACCTCTTTAGTTTTTCAACAAAAAGAACTTGTATCTAGGTGTGAGCATATTTTTTTCCCTGTATTTATAGGTATGTGGGTAAATCAAAGCACTATATGAAGCTAAGATGTCTATATGTGTTATCTGGAGGAAAACAGTCACAAAGATTGCTGCAATACATAATTTGGGCCAGGTGGTAACAAACATTATGGACTAGCAAAGATAAGGCCTCTGTTAAAGCATGTTCTGAAGAAACAAGGTAATACCTCAGGTAGCTTTTGAACTTTTGATCATAACATAATGATAAAAGTGCAGACCAGACATAACGATACCAGTTTTTTACTTAGGCAATGAAGAACTCATTAACAACTCTGATTTTATACAGCACAAATGCAACATGAGTTAAAAAAGTACTTGTGCAATTATCATGAAGAGTTTACTTTCTTTTTTTCTGGAAAGTGGCATTTGAATTTCTAAAACTTTTAACGCTTTTTTGCAAAAGAGAAAAAATAGTCATTGTTTTCTAATGCATTAATTGTGTATTGATGGAACAAAACAAAGTCACTTAGGAGAAAGGTTTTAAAAAGGAAGAAATATAAAGGCCATAGTATCTGCTAGCTTTGCTCAAGACTCATTCACGACTTACACAGTCTGTTGATAATACTGCAATAAAAAGAAAAAAATGCCATCCAGTATTCCAAACAAATGCAGCATACTGCCCTCATTACATCTCAGTACATTAGCATTTTGTGATTTGACCTGCTTCTCTCACGCAATTAACACGTGAGAGTATTTCTGAAGCGATGCATAAGGATTTTCCATCCTTATGTAAACAGGTTGGTAGACACCCTTTGAATGCTAAAGCTTCCATACTTTCAGTAATACCTAGCATATGCTTTGTGGTGCAGAGGTTGTTTGGTTTTGGCTAGGAATCAGCACTAAATGCTTTCTGAGAAGCACTTCAATTTATTTTAGTAGATTATTCAGACATAACTGAAGGGGGAAAAGTCTTGTTTAATGAATACGAGCTTAATTCAATGGATAACTAGTAAATAATAATAATAAAAAAGTAAAGAATAAAGTGTTTTACATCTTTCTGTTTCAATGAATAACAATGTAATGACTACTCAAGATTGGCACAGAAAATAGCATTTTGCAGTAACTTACAAAGCTCTTTCAAAATTGTCTTTCATATCCTTGCATTTCATTAAATCATAATTAGTACTCATTCATTCTTATGTACTCAGATTCCATACCTAGACACAAATCCAGACGCTATTTAGTTCACCAAATTTATGAACATTTAATATTAAATAAATTAAATAATGACCTATAAAAATGCAAATTATAAGATAATTTTCCCTTACTCATTGGCTTTGTTATCTACCTGATTATAATCTTTTTTTTTTTCTTTTTATGCTAAAGAGATTAATTTTTAGTAGCTACAAATACTGTTCAAAATATGGTGAATGAAATAACTGAAATTATTGATATCAAAAAACATTATCATTCAATTAAAAAAAATAAAAAAAAAAAAAAAAAAGTTCTGAAGTACATCAGCACTAACCAACAAACAATGCTTTGGCTGAATAGAAACTTCTGTTGCAAATGCCAAAGGGAAAAAGGAATAGTAAAAAATGTTTTATAATTTCCAGGTAAGTGGCTGTTATCTTATATACTGAAGTTAAGTTTCACTAGGAGTCCTAACCCACATCAAAGGGCAGATTGTTCTTCAGACATGATTCACAAGAAGGGTGGAATGGTTGTAAAATTGAATTAGCTTGATTATAAATTAACAGATGACAAATCTCTCCCATATGTTTTCTTTCTGCTGTTCTTGTCCTGAACACATCTCTCCCTCCAATACTATTCCTGAAAAAGGATTGTTACTAAATTTTGTCTAAGTGTTTGCTGAGTTACTGTTGCCAGAGGATACCATGTAAGGCATTGCTGCTCCACACTTGGCTGCAGTAGTCAGACATACTCTAGAAATTACTCTGTTTCATTTTCAATTCTAACCTGTCTCTATAGCAACATCATATCACTTCTGCATCCACAGCAGTACAGACTGGCCTCTTCCAGGCATGCATGCCTTCTTGAGAAAAGAAAGTGACTACGATTACATTTATTTCAGCCTCTCCCTCGTCCTCTCCTGGAAATCAAGATAGCCCCTTGGATTTACTCTATGCAAACTATTAAGTGTTCCCTGTGTACTCATGAGTTGCAATCTTGCAGTGATACATTATTAATTCCTCTGACTCCACAGTAAATTTCCAATGAGGATTCCAAGTTTCTAAAACTACACAGGTTCTTTCTTAAAACAAAAAGATTTTCAGAGTATTTACCACTCAGCTGGCATCCTAATCATATGTCTAAACCCCTTCAGATGCTTTCATCCTGTGATGGACACTATTTCTTTCCATGCAAGATGTTATGTCATAACCACATGTATTGTCTCTTGCTACACTGGAACACAGGGAAAGAAGTCAATAATTTCCATGCATGGATCTTCTAACTTCCCAAGGAAAAAAATAGTGGCTCTATCATACCACTTATGAAAGCAATATTCTGTAATCTGTGTCATCATTCTAATGAATGAATGAATGAACCAAAACTTTGCCACACCAATTTTGTGACACGGGTAGATGAACGTTTTCTCTGTTCTAGAGAAGGTTTCTCCGTATTCCAGGGACTGAAGCACATGATGTTTCTGTTGAAGAAAGATATTAGATCTTTTACAGACAAAGCAGTGCTTAATTAGGTGTATTGGACTGGGATCTTTATTTGTTTCTTATAACAAATTTCTGTTTAAATTTGGCTTTGAAACCATTGGATTCAATGGTAGCTAAAGTCTGAAGTGCAGTGAAATAACTAAATCTGTTCTCAGAAGGAAATTGCAAATAACAAGAAGCATAAAAGAAGAAAACTCAGAGCAGTAGTTTATTGATAGTCCTGGAAATAATTTTCTGCACTATTGATTTTTTTGTTGTTGTTGTTGTCATTGTTTTTTGGTGTTTTCATTTTTTTTTTTCTTTTTTTTCTGCAGCTCATTTATCATGCTAGCACTCAGATGCAATGAATTTTGAAAACTAGAAGAAAACAATATTTTCTGAATACTTTTCATAACTAAGATTTGCATCTTTTCCAAAAGAGAACTGGTCAGAAATTTATGCCTTCATTCATTTGCTTATATATAAATGAACTAAAAGATAAAATAATTATTACTTTCTAATTCACCTATTACATACATTGATTATCTTAGTTATTTACAAAATTGAGTATAATTTTGAATTATAGAATTACAAAACAGTTTAAGTTGGAAGGGACAACATAAGATCTAAATTCAAACTCCTGCTCAAAGTAAAGTCATCACTGAATTCCATGCTTTGTCAAGGTAGGTCTTGAAAACATCCAAAGCAGAAATTGTTAGAAAAGTGAATATTTCTCATTGTAATTCTCTTATTGTGATTCTTGATGAATTGCTTTTATTGATGGCAATATGATGGCTAAGACACTATTAAAACATCTTTTGCTAACGTGATATCTCTGCTCTCT